GGTCAATCCCTTATGATGAAATGAAGCATAGAGTAAAAAATAACATTATTTTATGGAAAATTATATGTTCAAAGGGAAATTGTTCTGTAAATACTTTTTTTTTAGTTTAACACCTTATCACATGATGTGTATGATGATAAGATATACATGTGTACATACAGATGTATAATGAAAATTAATGACCCTTGGGGCGGGCCTAATTATATCCCAGGGCTTTGATCGGAATAAACTTGATAGACACTCAGTATAAGATGTTTCATGCCAAATATCTAAGCTCTAGCTCTTTGGATTTTTGTGTCGCCTCTACGGAGTAGTGGCGACATATAGGGATCACTTCTCCGTCGTCTGTCTGTCCGTCTGTCTGTCTGTCCGTCTGTCTGTCCGTCCGTCCGTCCGTCACAAAACTTGTCCGGCCTACTCCTCATAAACTACTGGTGCAATTTCATCCAAACTTTACAGGAATGATCAGTACCAAGTCTAGTTGTGCATATTGTCAGCATTTTCCGGTTTAATGATTTTTGTCAGAGTTATGGCCCTTTAATAATTTTTAATTTTAAAGTTTGTCCGGACTACTTCTCTTATACCACTAATTCAATTTCAATGAAACTTTACAGGATTGATCTGTAGCTCAAGTCCTTGTGCATATTGCACGGGTTTTCCGGTTGAATGATTTTTGGCCGAGTTATGGCCCTTTGATAAAAAGGTGTTTTTTTCTGTGTGTTGCCAGATACACAAAAGCTTGTCCGGACTATTCCTCATTAACTACTGGTGCAATTTCATCCAAACTTTACAGGAATGATCAGCACCAAGTCTAGTTGTGCATATTGTCAGCATTTTCCGGTTCAATGATTTTTGTCAGAGTTATAGCCCTGTAATAATTTTTAAGTTTGTCCAGACTACTTCTCTTATACCACTAATGCAATTTCAATGAAACTTTACAGGATTGATCTGTAGCTCAAGTCCTTGCGCATATTGCACGGGGTTTCTGGTTGAATGATTTTTGGCCGAGTTATGGCTCTTTGATAAAAAAAGTGTTTTTTTCTGTGTGTTGCCAGATACGTAAAAGCTTGTCCGGACTACTCCTCATAAACTACTGGTGCAATTTTATCCAAACTTTACAGGAATGATCAGTACCAAATCTAGTTGTGCACTGTCCGTCTGTCTGTCCGTCTGTCACAAAATTTGTCCCAACATGAAATTGGCCATCATGAGGCGACACATGTGATTACTGATCGCTCTTGTTTAAAAGAAAGGTTTATTTTTTTTTTGGTTGCTATGGCAATCAAAGTTGCATGGGATTTTATTCTTTGAACACCTTTGGTAGAGCTTTATGCAAGGTACACTCCTGCAAAGTTTTAACAAATTTGGCTAAGTGGTTTAGGAGTAGAAGTTGTTTAAATAAATTTTTGACGCACGGACATTGTCCTCAGATGAGCTAATAAAAAAGTTAGGGATAAAATATTTACTGCACATCTATAGGCATTAATTTAAAGTATGTACGCTGGCGCGAACTTAAAAACCGAGGTGAGTAGGATAGGTCTACATATACTTTATGTAGTCGAGCTAATAATAAAAATATCACTTACCTGGTCACTTAGTTAAGAGTCTTGCACTTTGCAGTAAAAAATTACAATGTTTTTTTTTTTGCTTTTGTTTTTTTAGCGTTTTTTTTTTTTTTATGAAAGTTTATTAATTAAGAAGATGAAGATCACTTATAAAGGTATATCCCAACATATAATTCATTTAGTAGCTAAAATTTATTAGTGATATTAAGTATATTTACAAATAATTCAATAATTGCTAAAGTTCACAATTCACTTGGGCCGCAGACCCAGAGAACAAAACATCGATAAAAAGTGAGTGTATCTTCAGAAATTTGATCCTTCAACGTTAGGGCCATTAGATAAGAACACAGAGGACCAATTAATGATGACAAGACTCTCAACTCAGTGGACGTGTTAATGGGAGATATACCGTTAATAGTGATTTACTAGCTGATAAGCCCTTACTGAGATTCAGCAGGCTGGAAGGGTTTATGCGTAGGACTGTACTTATAATATCTGGGGAACCGTGTCTCAAATTTTTTCTATCTTTTCTCAAAAAAATATTACGTAACGTCAAACATTTTATGCGACTTTTTTCACCATACATATTACGTAATTAAAGATAATTAAGTCGCTGATTGAGCAAACAAAAATCCCTGACACGGTTCCCTCCGTAAATGAATTCTCTTTCATGTGCTTTAAACCGCATGTTAATTGCTTGATTATTAAAAAAGTTATGCCGATTCAAAGTTAGTCCGACCCGCATCAAACGAAGTGTCATAAATCGGCTGTTCTCTCTCGGACCCCTACGTTTCACGCTAAATAATTGCATAATACACAAATATCGCACCAGAGAGGGTCACAAGTTGCGGTAACATACTCTAACAACATTTTATGACCCAGTGACATCTGACCAATTAAAAAGTTGCTGATTAATATCAGTTTATAACAGAAATTTCTTCAAATCTTAACGTGATTTACCGTCCGTCTGGTATCGGTCGCACATGCCACGTGACTTTCGGTAAAATTTGAGGCACTCGGTGGGGGGAAATGGAACGTATTTGCGCACCGCTAGCGGGGTATTTAATTGTTTCACTTTTGAAGTTTATTATTATTATCATCAGCATTATTATTATATTATACCAGTGTCAATCTGTCTGTGTATTCGTGTATGAAATTCCGTTAAAATATAAATTAAAATAACAAAAAACTGAGCTTCTGACGGTCTTTTAAAGTCCATGGTAGATGTACAAATAAGAACGGGATATTATATATTTTTTCCTCCAAATTGATATAAATGCTTCACATATTTTAATAAAAATAAGAGGTATCACTCGATCATTATGATCTGACCTTCTTGACTTCTATTATCATGAATACACGTATCATCTATGCACGACATAGAGATCCAGTTTCTACTGGGATATACAATAAATTCCATACTTTGTCTCAGGTTTATTAGTACTGTGTTCGATTTACCGGCGAACAATTTATTCAAAGCATTCACTGATAATATATTTTATTATCTTTTTTATTGATTCATAGAGAAATAATCATCCTTAGACAACCTAAAATGGTTTAGAAATTTGTCAGGGACACCTTACCACAAGTCATATAGGCGTTCACATAAAAAAATGTTGTCTGTTTTTGTTGTTGTTTTACTTGACATTGTTAGAAAACGAGGTTGAATGTAAAGCAAGTCCTTGAATCCGAAAAAAAGTACATAAACGCAATGTAATATCTATCAGATTAACGGGACAGACAAATTATTTTCACACATTATGGATATTTTAGCAACTATATTTTTAATCAACCCCGTGGTCGTGCGATTTGCCGCTATGCTTATTTATGTTTCATACATTATGTTACGTACATTGGCCGATAATTTCTTATTTTATAAAAAAGGCTAAATAAAAGGTAAACGATATTCATAAAAGATGTACGGTATTTGTACGATACATGAATTACGAGTGGTATGGACCAGTATGGATCGGTAATTCACGCATATACGGAACTACCGATTTCCCTCATTGATGCCTCAACAGGGGGCGGAGCGTTATCGATAATTGACAGGTTACGCGAACAGCAGATAAAAATGGTACAGGTACCGCTTTAAAACGTTTAAAAACACATTTTTTGGACTAACTGCTTCCAAAATTAAATCACGAATGTGTTCAGAAAAGGTTGATAAATCTACTAAGCAAAAAATCTCATTTTAGATATTTTCAGTGATAATTGACTCCGTTGGCAGACATTATAAATATGCCATTTATTTATTATTATCATTTAGGACGCATTTCACAGATATGTATGTATGTGTGTATGTATGTATGTATGTATGTATGCGCGTGCGTGCGTGCGTGGTTGTATGTATGTATGTGTATGTATGTATATATACAGCTTATGCTTAATGACGGTCCATCCGCCCTTTCAGAAAAAAATGCAGTTTTCGCTGTCGAGTACGGACCCCGGACATGTCACCAGTCGATCATGCCTTTAAAGAGTTAATTTTGAAGCACAAAGTGGTGATAATTTACCTCCATGCAATTTCCACAGAGTATTAGCAAAAGATATGAATTTTGAGCAAAAAGAAGGTCACTGTAAATGTACAGTAACCTGACACAATATGAAAGGGTATAGCCTTGAAAAGGGCTGTTGGTGCCAGCAAAAGGCCTGCCGTTCACGCACCCTAGCACACCATTCTTGTCGACTCATGCAGAGCCTACTTTGTAGAGCCACTCCCCTCAAACAGGTAGTTAACTTCATGCAAGCTAAGTCGTGCTACCTTAAACGTTATCCCGAGCTGTAGAAAACATGCGAACTTGCCGTCTTACACGTAGCATTGGTTCGTCAATCATCTGCCGATGCCCTGTGTCTTCTCAACAACGTACACGTACCGAGGGAAGAGACAAGTGAAAAAATTTCACAAACAATTCTTAAATAAGTATTATACAAGTATAGTTATGCAAACAAAACGGGTTATCAGTTTTTTTAAGTTCGCTTCGAAACTTTAAGTAGATCATATATAATTTCTAAGAAAATATTGAGTGTACAGGTTTTTCTACTTTAAATTTTATGTATATAAAATAATTATATTGTTTCTGCATGAACGTTTCAAAAACGTTTTATATGCATTTAATGTGAGAGATACATTTCACACTTATCTTTGCAAATATTAACCTGGGGCATTTTTGCCATTTCTGTACTCGGCGTATTGTACTTGTACGTGTAGGTAATTTGATGGGCTGCAAGAAAAAATAGACCACTTAAATCGGCCCCAAAACCGTATAAAAATCTATAATCAATTTAGTATCGGATACATTTACATATTATCTTGCATAGTTTTCTGTGTCAAGAGCACCGGTTGATTTATAAAAATAAAATCAATTTTCATATTTTCAGGGCTCAACCCATTGAAGAAAGGTTCTTTTTTATAAAGTATTTTTCTTCAGCAATTCATTGCTGTTGTTGCAGGGAAATTCCGGACAATGTCCTGGAAATTAATTGTCAAAAGGGAACAAAAAAGCTGAGAGAATATTTAACAACAATCTATTTGTAATGAACACTTCTATAAGTAATTCTACAACTGAGAAATTTGACCATAACATTTGAACAATAAATGATGCAACACAAAATATAAAACGAAATCCTAATGAAAAAAGACACTATTATATGTGCAGACTTTGATTTAAACTAAAGTACCAACTTAGATTTAGTTTTGAATGAAAAATTATTTATCTAATGTTTAATAACAATTTAACAAACATGTTTACCTTTTAAAGGGAAACAACCCTTTTTAAACAGTATTACATAATTACTACAGAGTTATATCCTTTATTACGTAATTATATAGTCAATTAAAAAAGTTGTATTGTAACTATGGAAGTACATGTAACTGTAAGAAGATAAAAATAAATATTGTATTTTTTTAACTTTATATTGAACAACAAAACATAGTTAAAAAGGAAGCAATTGGTATACATCATTACAGCATCTTACCAAGTTTTTATTCAGTTATGTCTAAAGTTTTAGTTTGTATTTTCAAATAAATTTGCTCAGACAAGTTCGTTAGTGAATTTGCGATGTTAATTAACTAGAGACTGATAAGAAAAGCTGAAACTGCTTAATGTATGTTCGTGACAAAACCTTGGTTTTACATATATATATATACAGTAGAATCCCTACTAAAGACCACCTCGGATTTAAGACCACCCCACTTTTAAGACCAGTTTTAAAAAGAACGGAATTTTCTGTTCTTTATGTCAATGGTTACATGATCCAGAATTAAGACCACCTCACTTATCCACATTTAAGACCACCAAATTCAGTCCCAATTCCTTATTTTGTTCTTTATTTGACCTCACTATTGAGACCACTGATATTAAAATCAACACCTTCCTAGATCTTAAATGTGTTGTTATGTTGTTATTATCTGCTTGATTGCTCTTAGGCATGACACTTGATTACACAAGGTGTCAAAAGCTGTTATTTATGGGATATTTAATGAAAAAAAGGTGAGAATGTTAATTTCATAGTGGTTTAATGTTGCTTTATGCACATTTGTTTTGTGAAGAAATAAAGTCTGATATGATATGTGAATTATGTACCTCATACAATAATTATTATTGAAATCAGAACAAAGAAAATTTGATATTAAATTTCTTCAGAAATATGTTTTCTTCCCATCAGATGTAACATTATAAAATATATACTTTTATATTGTATTTGCAGGTTAAGATACATATTGTTTGTTCATACAAAATGACTAAAATAGGCCCTGGTCATATCGTGTGTAAGCAATGATAAGAATATCCACAATTAAGACCACCCCGCAATTAAGACCACTTTGGTCTAGTCCCGATGGTGGTCTTAATTGAGGGTTTTTACTGTATATTTATGAATATTTTCTTCATTAGTATTATTGTGTCTCATGTATGACATGCGATGAAAATGAATCATTGAATGAATGATTTGCGCTAAATTATTATTACTCTATGATGCTATAAATTCAAATAAACATTATTTACATATTCAATAACACAACGAATAAGTCATAATGTGTACTTCTAATTCATCTGTTACTATGTAAAAGTAAAGCTGGAAGGTTGTATATTCTATTCAAACATTCCAAATGCCAAAACTTTTAATAAGCAATATTAGATTAAAGTTAATTATGTCACATATGTAATAATTTTTCCATTTCTCCTTTAAAATGATCACTCAGTTCCCGAAGAACTCCAGGATCTTTCCCACGGAGAATGTTTTCAGAATTACTGAAGTAATTTGGAAGTTTTCCTCGATCAAGGGCTGATGTCATATCCCCAATGGTATCAATCAGGCAGTTATAAATGTTGCCATGTTGCCAGTAATTTTGATCTGGACGTTTTTCCGCAGACCAAAGAATTTGATGCTAAAAAGAAAATATCAAAAACAAATGATATTTGAAGTTTCAGAAATATATATTATAGCATTCGATATGTTGCAAACACAAAAAAAACGTACTTCACTGTTACTTTTGCAAAAGGAGTTGATGGATTACTTTGGTATTGCTAATTTATCATACTACTGTTTACCGCAGCAATCATAGGAAATTTAGCAGTTGATAACGAAAAAGATAAAACACTTTCTTACCTGCATTATGAGATACAAATGTATCCTACATTTATATGGAACTTATGACAGTGAAATTAATTTTAAGTACATTTTAAACGATCATTGACCATATCTATTTACTCAATATTTTTTTTGGAAAGCAATCACAAAAAGATTAAACTTAGCCAAAACGAACTTTATTTTTTCTTAAAAAAATGCTTGGACTGTGTTTAGGTCGATCAATGTGTAAGATTTATGAAATGGTAATTGAAACTACATTACTATCGTTAACTGAATAAAATACAAAACAAACAAACTCAAATTAGCTTTACTTTTATCAAATGTGATGAAACTCCCGGAAGACCATCTTTCGATCGGGATGTGCAATCCTGGACGTACTTCTTCATTATTCTATTGACCTCTCTTCGACAGCCATTTCCCTCATCAATCTTTAAAAGAGCAGCTTTTTCTGCTTTTGAATATGAAACTGCCCATACGTTATCGCCTTTTGGAACTAAGTGTGTCCCGGTGGTTTTAATGCCATCAAGTACTCGGCTATCGAAAGCTTTACGTGTATTCGGACGAGGCCAACCGTTATCTGTCACAGGTACCTTGCACGGAATTGATGGTGTTATATCGACACTTATGTCATGAAGACCTTGACCTTGATGTATGTTCAACGTCAAGGCAGGTCCGTGGGCGTTACGACTCACATCAACATCTGCAAAAATCATTTTCATCTGTTCTTTCGATTGTTAATATTACTTGAAAATAACATAAATTTGAATTTTGCTTCATTTACATATGCTACAAGTGTTATACCTATTTAGATGCAGAAAAAATTGTTTTCAATACTCCAAATTAATGGTTATCTGAAGCAGGTTATACTGTACATGAAACAAAGTAGAGATATATTTATGCAGAATTTAAAAGGTAATAACAGCTGCATCTTAAGCTGCATGCACCGAATCTGTTTGTCTCCTTCCTTTATGCTAGAGGTAAATTTACTAGTAATTTGTAATGTTTCCCTATCTCCAGGCAAAGTACAACGTTTATGGGAGAAAAGTTGTTAAATTCATTTCGGAAATTTTCTAGAAAAAGTCCTGCTTACTTTAATCACTTACTTTTCATTCCTAGTTCTTTTACAGCAGATTTAATTTTACCATAAAGGTCTTGTTTTACTTCTCTTGGAACTAATTGTCCTTTGTACGTAAGTTTTGCAGGGACGGTGCCGTCTTTAACTGTTACCACTGCGTATCCCATCGGTATTTCTTTGCCACCTGGAATGTCTTTCAGGCTCATCTTTATATTCATATTATTCGATTTCCCCATCTGTGAAAAGAAATTGCATCAGCTCAAAATAGATGGGCATGATGACAGCACAGACAAATATCATGATTCAATATCTGTATATAAATAAAGTTCAATAAGATAATCCATTTTTGCTTAAGTAGAGCATTTAGAAGATCTGTTAAAAATAAAAAAAAAAACAATGATAACCCTGAATCGCTTAACTGACATACATTGCTAGAAAAGTCACAATTCTTCATTGAAAAAGTCAGTAGTTTCACAACATTCTTTATCTTTATCACAGCTGCATATATTTTTGTACATGTCCACTTGGAAATGCTACATGCCAAATATCTTATTTATGCGAAATGTAATTCCACACAAGAAGGCTTAAATGTGTGGTGTTTATTTTAAAGCAAGGGAAATGATTTCTGTACGTTTAGAAGAGGATCACACTTTGATTCTACATTCCCTTTTATATCTCAGGTCTGAGCAGTAGTAATTTATTCGAAATGATATTGAAGTCACGTGTACTATTTTTACTATTTAAGTCTAAACAAACTATATGACCACACGGGCATGAAAAGGACATGACCTATATAACTGTTGCAAAGTTCATCAAGGCAATGCTATAGGCCTAAGACAAAATCTAAGCTCTGGGCATTGTAGTTTCAGAGAACAAAAATTCAATGTCAAATACAAGGTGATATGACCAATTTTGACCACAGGGACACGATTTATAAAACTTTTGTAGAGGACCACTAGGTGATGCAACATGCCACATATTTAAGCTCCGTGTATTAAAGTTCCCGAGAAGAAGTTTGTTTTTTAAGACATCTTTACTAAACATATATTAATCTATGAAAACTTTGTGACCTTAAGGGAGAGGCCATGATATATACATGTATAACCTTTGAAGTCGCCTACTAGGCAAATGTTTATGACAAATATCTGAGACATGGGCTTGGCATTGCAACCCCGTGTCCGAGTCGATTTGCGTAGGGAAATAGAAGAGACGGTTGCCCTGTAGTTATATATAAGAAGTAAGATACTGTCTCCAGCGTTATTTTTCTTTCACGTTGACATTACGTCCTGATCACTTGTGTACAAGTCTATGTTAATTTAGTGACCCCTGTTGCGGGACAAATTTGGATCCCGCCCCAGAGGCATGATTTATGTAACAATCGTAGAGGACTACAATTGATGTTTCATGTCAAGTATCGAAGCTCTGAACATTGTGGTTTCTAAGAAAATCTTTTATAGATTTCATTTTCAATTTTCTATTAACCACAGGCACGAATATCGGACCTACGACCCCATTGATAGCAAAACCTCTGTATTTAAATGTGTCAGACCCCCCCCCCCCCACCAAAAGAAAAAGGTGAAATATGAGCCCCTTTAGAATATACTATAAGTTAAGAGAAGGCCGGAAACTCCAGATTCGAGTCTAAGAGCAAGGGGTTCATTTCCTGGGACGTTGGGAATACAATTGTCCAGATAATTTAAAGAAACTTTTATCACTATTTCACGATTTCCAAATGAGACCGACCCCAAGTCTCTAGCCCTTCCTGTTCATGAAATATCTATCAGCAAACAAGCGCATTCGTGCTAAAACTCCAAGGTAGACAAAAAAGTGGCACAACGATTCGGTACGTAAACATAGACTAATACATGTTTTCAGCCGAGTACTGGTCAAAATCACTTGAATTTACTAAATAATATTACTAAATACATTGAATGGGACCATTCACAACCGTCAGAAGCATCTGAAATTCGAGTTTCAAACCTCTACACGGTCTTTCGATTCTTCCTTCCAAATATTAAATAATCTGTCAATAAATAAAGGCTGTATGGGTAAAAGTGTAAAAAAAATATTTTTAGCACTAGTGACCTTGATCTAACTCACCCCTATCTCAATCCATAAGGATTAATCCATGCAAGTTATCATCCTATAAAACATGCAAATTATTACGCAAAAAATAAAGGCTGTATAAGCAAATGTGTTGAAATATATTATTAGCACCCTCAACATTGACCCACTGACCCCTAACTCAATCAAAAGGAACATTTCTATGTAAGTTATCTTCCTGTCAAATACGAAAGACATCTGTCAATAAATAAAGGCTGCATAGGCAAAAGTGTAAAAATCAGTTTTTAGCACTGGGGACCTTTACCCAACTGACCATTTGCTCCATTCAAAAAAAATTCTCAATTTTATGTTCCTGCCAAATATAAAAGACATCAGTCAATAGCATAAAATTACACCTGTAAAAGTGTAAAAATTGTGTCATTGGTGACCTCCCTAGGCATGTCTGTCTTAAACACGAAATACATTATTTAAATCAAAGGCTGTATGAGCAAATTGTTTATTTTTTATATCAATAACTTTGAACCCAATGACCCTTTTTTCCACAAAATATTAGAGGACAATTTAATGTATCCACCTACTAAATATGAAAGTTATCATTAAATAAATCAAGTAATTAGAAGAAATTTAAGATAAATCCAACTTGCTGGAATAGGTTTACCATAAAAGACCCTATTTTCAAAGTGATAAAAAGAAAATAACTGGGGAAAATGGATGTGACAGTAATATTACTTGGCAATATCATGTACTTTGTATTGATTTAAGTTAGTGTGGAAATAATGATGGCATTAGAATAGATAGAACTTATGACCTATCCAACTTCCCGGATAAGGTTAACCATATCCATTTTATCCATTGTGTTGAAAAAGGCAATAACTTGAAAAAAATGGAAGTCAAAGTTATGTAACCTGCCCATTTCAGGTTCTTTGTATTGATTAGTAAGTGTGTAAATTATAAAGCCATTTGTACAGGTAGAACGTAAGAAAAATCTAACTTACCCTTTTAAGTTCAACTTGTGCGGACGGTCGGACAGACGAACAGACGGATCAATAATTATATGCACGTGGGCATAAATTATAATAATAACAATAATAATAATAATAATAAGAAGAAGAAGAATAAAAAGAATTACCCTATCGTCCAATTTCTGGTAATCAAAATCAACATTTCCGCGGGTTCTTGTATTATCGGGGACAATGTTACAAACAATGTTTGTATCAAATTCATCAGGTTTTCCAATCTTAGTTTTCACAGGAAAACTGCCAGCTCTTACCACATTTGGGCAATAAATTTCACCTCCCTCTGCTTTCTTCACATGATTCATAATTGGCCGAAGTATTCCGTCAACACGTGTAACAGATGATTTCTTATCCGCCTTACTGATAGCAACTTTACTCTTATGAAAATTGTCAAGATATTCCTTCGCTCGGGAGTTAGGTTTTGAGCTGTGGCCAGTATCTTTTTTGTGCTGGTCAAGCCTGCTTTTGTCGAGAAACGTCTTGTCGCACCCACGGCATGTTTTGTCCGAAATTCCAAATTTTGCAGCTATATCTCTCTTGTGATCTGCATATGCACTTGCTGATTTAAAGCTTTTACCACATCGATCGTCACAGAATACACGATTAGTTTCTTTTTGAGCATTTTCCCTTTCATCATTCATCCAGTGATTTGTGCTTCTTTTGTGTTGGTACAGGTCATCTTTGTTTACAAACGATCGGCAACATCCTGAACATTGTTCTTGTTTTGCATTTTCCTGCATCTGCTTTTTATGATTACCCAAACTTTCCTCACTCATGAACTTTTTGTTGCAGGAACAAGAAAATAATGCGTGATTTGTAATGCCATGACAATTTAGTTGTGCACTATTTCCAAACCGACTTTCTCCACAAATATTACAAGACATTTTAAACCTCACTTTCAGATTTCTTTTCCTGATCAGAAATGCAATACCGATTTTGATTTGGTTAAAGCCACGTATAAGTTTCTAAATTTAGATATGACTTTATGTAATTTCCGTTATCAGCATAATATATATGCATGTAAACATTCAAACCGAAAATAACCAAGTATTGAATATTTATGTATGTGCTAGACACAATTAGTTTTCTGAAAACGCTACTAACACAAAATATCTGTGTATAGAGATAAATCGAAAGTAAATTGATTTAAATCGAAAGTAAAGATTTTTATTGGATGCATATCACATGCATTTTGTCGCTTAGGATGAAATTATCATTTAATAATTTCCATTTGATCATCATGAACACATTTACTATCCAGCATCCGTTTACTAGATGAGTGATATTTCATACTGTACGTAAAAGCTAGTCCATAACAATGTTTCATCATTTAAAAAGATACGGTTATTAAAGTCGAAATGAAGTCAAAATAAAAATCGGTATGCATGAATTTTTTTATCAGATTATGAATATCTCATTTATTTATTTATTTATTTTCATAATTACTTTTAGATCACACGGACTTCTTATTGGGTAAACTTAAATGTTTGTATTTAATAGTAAATACAAAACATCAATGAATGAGGAAATTCATATACAAATACGTGCTACCTTTGCTGAAAGACCAGTATATCGACTTCATCATACATGCATAACTTGAATGTTATATGAATTGATGTTTTTTTTTTGTTAAGAAGTAAATATGTCAATTTCTTCAGTTACGTAAATAGAAGGAAAAACCCATATCTTAAATTTTAAACTTTTAGTCTTTCATTGAATAATTTAGCTGAGATCACACATTATGTACACCCTCAAAATATATACGGTGAAAGTATTACCTTAAGCACACATGTAGTATATAGTATATACTAATTATGATCAAGAAGTTAGCTAAAATAGCACATTTTGTATACAAATGGTTTTGTATCAATTTTCAATCATTTACAATAACAGTCATTTTGTTTAATTTACAACAAATATGCAAATTTTAATGAAACATACCTCGTCTTTTATGTAATACTGTTAACAATCAGATAAGCCTATCTTTACTCGGGTGTTAATAATGATCAAAACGGTTTAATATATTTATTATGTATGCATGTGTATAAGGATTTATTAAACAAAATTAATGCTGAAATACATTTAGATATTATATAAAAGTCCATATAAAACACCTGACATCATATTTCAATGAATGAGCTACCTTCTATCGTTACAGTGTTATACTGGACACATTAAACTCATAAACATGTTCATTTCAAAATGCGTTTAAAATATATATACAAGTATATAAAAACAATGTATGCAACTCCAATAAATATTATTCAATTACACGAAGCGGCAATTTATGTCATTTGATAAATTCAAAAATGTTTGATTTTCTGCAAAAAAACAAAACGTCCATATACTTGTTTACACATACCAAAAACATCGTTTTTTCTGAAAATATAGGTTTACCTTTACCTTAACGTAGCTGTTATTTGTTAGATTATCAGAATCTTAATAGTGATTCTATAGAATTAATGAATTATGAAAAGAAAAATGAAAATTTACAAAATTCCCAAGTAATGAAAAAAATTTAAAATCCTGGGTGAAATTGTATTTTGAAAAGAATAATGTGCATGCTATCTTATAATAAAAATTTTTAGTTATACTTTTGATAAGTGACAAAAGAATAATTTTTAATGTATTTATTAATTTATTTAAAAGGATGTTTTAAAAGAAATTTTAGCTTAGCAAAATTTGCAAATTGTAGTTTGTCATCAAATTAATTTAATTTTTTTGTACCCCGATTAAAAAAAGGAAACATCAAGTGATTTGTATTTAGGAGGGGTATCCTTATTCAGCATAAAAATTTCTTTTTTAAAAAAGTTTCATATTTTGGATTTTTAATTGGAGTCCCAAACTAAATTTACATTGTACGTAGGCCTTTTGTATTTATGTCAACATTGTAGGGTGATACTTGAATGAAAGCAAGCAAACATTATTCCACATCTCAAAAAAATGTACAAATCGTATCATTTAACTAATTATTAATTACATTGTAATTTGTACACACTGATGTTTTTTTCTTTGCTGAAATATTACAGCTTTCATCATATTTGTATTTATAAATCGTCCTATACTGTTCTCTAATTTTACCAAAATTCGCTTCTAAACTTCTAACATGTTTTAAAAGTTCTATTTGTCTTCTCCTCATAAAAAGACGATAGGGTCGAGTACAACTGACATCTTTGTCTGCAGTATATTATACCCGAGTTGAAATATTCTGGCAGCCATTTGAAATTCAGGTCATTGATGAACTACATCTAGCGTGTTAATCAAACAATACATCTATATATTATCAGAGCGCCAGTCAATGAACACGTCGCTGTGTTTCTTCACAAGACCAGAGGATTCGCGTCTGAAAAATAATAAAATAATCAAAGCACTGAATGTACTGATGGGGAGGCTATGACAAGAATGTTTCAAGACTTCTAGTTTCTTTTATTTTGCTTAAATGTGCTTTATTTCAATTATTACCAAAAAATAAGAAATATGCACATTGCGCTATTTATCCTTACTGTTGTGTTCAACCATTCATATTCATTTTGTATATGGGTTAATATGTTGCTAATATTCAGAGATTCAATTCATTGAGGTCTACATTCGGGACTGTTTATCATGAAAATTTTGAGAAAACCTAAAACTGTCAAATAATAAATGACATACCAGCAAGTATGACGGACTGTTCATTATAAGATAACAATATACATTTTACAACTGAAAGGTTCCTTATCAAAATTTTTCTAGGGACTGTTCATCACAAAAACTTTATGTCATTTTAAATATTATTGAATGATAATAACAACTGCAAGTTTTATGCAAAATTTTTATTGGACATAAAAATTATACACATTTAACATGTACCATAATTGAGATCAATAAGATACTGTTCTTGTGATGAGTATTATATTCATGCTCTACGGACAGAAAGTTGTCTTCTCCAGAAGCAAATCTTCGAATGAAATCACGTTTCAGAAAAATTATTCCCATTTCATTACTGGACAGCGTCGGATAATATGAAAGGTAAATATTACTTGAAAAATCCATATCTGCAAAGCATTTTATCCCACCGGTCTCAAATATCAGCTAAGACCGGTGTACACAATGATCTGCAAAGCTTATCAACCTAAGTGAAAAATTGATCAGGAAGTTATATCTTTTTTTTTACCCGCCAAAACCACTCAAACCAACTTATGGTAAGTAAATCGAATAGATTCTACATGTATTTTTAAACCTCATTAGCTTGAAATATATACTGCCGGAAAATTCTGTTTTTTACAGGGTTTGCGGTTATTACGTAGGGTTTTCCCTTTTGTCGACCATTTCCCGCAAATAGATGAGAACATCGAAGCGTCAGTGCTATGAATGGTGTTATAAATATGGGCGTGTTTTTGAAAAGTTTTTGTTGAAAACTTCTCCAAAAATCCCCTCCAGAGGCGGTGCACGGTTTGCTGGTCGCGGATAAGGCACACTGAAGGTCATGGTTCAAGTCAATCATAAAGTACCAGAGGTGATTGGTTTGATTTGTTGTGACTTACTCTGGAGGTTTTGCGCTAATAAATGCCGTTTTTGTTGTCGTCAGTCAGAGAGTTGATGCCTTGAACAGTATTGTCGTCTCCTTTACACCTACGAACGAAGAAATGGGCTACCAGGAAGATTCTGCTTGAAAAAAGACGTCCCCCCGATGCTATCAGTCTCGGACATATATAATGGTTATTCCGGCGGCCGAGTATAATAAATTAAAAACACACACACTTTTTGTTGAAAAAAAAACAAAAAAAAAAAAAAACAAAACAACACATTTTTTTCTGTAGTAATTTTCAAGTGTTGATAAATGAATACGAAATTCCTCTTATGAAACCGGCCGTTCTTTAATTTTTGATTTTTTCAAATAAACATTAGTCACTTCAGCGCGCGCAAATATCGTTTTCAAATTAAAAGTTTTCTAAGATATGTTAATGACTTTCCCGATGCTCGACTGTAAGTAATTCGTATATAAATGCGTTTTTTTTTTTCTTTTTTTTTTCTTTTTAAAGCTTCTTATTCTTTAATATTTTTTATGTATCTCATAATCTTGTATTGAAAATTTGAATTTTATTACACATGGACTATCAAAAATTATGATGCGTTGCCCTAGAATTTTAATAAGCTTTCTAATTACACAATACGGGGTCATTCCATTTGATTGAAGACTGATCTTTGCGTCTTTCTCTGAAATAATTATTTCCTTGTTAAAACATATTTGACCACATATTTCTGTCATTTAACTGTTCACTTTACTTCCGATTTTTGTTGTACGGAAACACCATGTTTCTTTTTTTGTGTTTTTCTAATCAATTCGAATCTATAATCAGTTTAATGGGATCACCACCGGTACTACACTAGGTACCTTGGTAATGTTTTTTTACCCCAAATATATGAATGTTTCTATTGGGGGATTTAAATGAGCGTAGGTAACTAAACAACTGGTTGTTAAAATCCCGACCTGTCTAATTCTAATTATGAGATTAGTGGGTATATTAAGACTTTCACTACAAAATATTCCTAAACAAAAGAGCACATGTTTAAAATCTATTCCCTATACAAATAAAAGCATCAGAGTAGGGATCTGTCAATTGCCAGACATATTTTTAAAAAGATATTTTTTGTTAAAAAGTTTGATTTACTTGAATAATGTAAGATGAAAATATAAGTATTTGCTTTTTTTTATTTTGCTAATGTAAAATGTAATTTTGTGGCTGAAATTTTGTCGGGGG